TAAGTGCCCTGTGCAACAGGAAGGAGCTAGAATGTTTTTTTGGCTGACTTTCAGGCTTACTCATTCCCCTTGAATAATACTGAAGTCAAAATGATCTCTAAAGACCAGCAATGACAAAGAAATGCACATTTTAACACAATGTAATTTTCCAACGATCGATTGGCCAAAGCATCCTTTTAATTCCATGCCTGGTGAGGATGCAAAGCAAAAGCCATTTCTGGTGAGAGTGTAAGTTGGTAGTTTGTGTGGAGTAGGATCAATAAAACATATTCTTAAATTTTTTACAAAGATTTTGACCCAGCAAATCCACTTGTGGGGATTTTTCCTAAATAAGACACAAGAGTTGTACAGGATTTAATGTACGAGGATGTTTATTTAGCTCAGTGTTGCTTCTAAACATGAAAAAGGTTTAACAGTAAATAGGAGGAAATTTGTAAGTAAATAATGGAAACGACATGAGATAGAATACTGTGGAACCAGCCAAAATTGTAAAATACTGACCTTATAGAGGAAATAATCCTAACATATTAATTAGTGTAAAACCAGATAAAACAGTTTATATGTTACAGTGTTAAGCAGGTAAAAATGTTTACTCACAAAAAATGCATAGACCTATACCAAAATGATGGCAGTGACTTCCTGTCTCTGAGGGCAGAGTATGTAATGATTTTCTTTCTTCCCTGTGCTGTTCTATTTTTCTAGTCATTGAGAGTGTCTGTAACCATTATTACATATATATTTTTTTAAGTTTATATAAGAATACCAATAACTTTATTTAGAGCCTGAGAATAATAGAGAGTGAGAGATATGTAAATGAGAAGGAGGCTGGAAAAGTGACGTGTCCTTGGAACTTGAAAGCCATTATTACAGTCACCAAATGCTACAGATGCCTTTGTGAACTACTTACTTCTTTAATCACGTACTAATTAGAATGGTGATAGATGAGTTTCTGTTATAGACAATGAAGTTATTTATAGTAACACCCTATGCTGGATCTTTTCAAATGAATAAACCTTGCCTTGAATGCACGTTAGCAGTTTAGGCAGCATATTTGCTTTTGAAGGGTAGTAGTTAGTAAACCATAAAAGCAATTTTCAGTGTTTCCACAGTGTAATCGAAAGATCATGCTTCTTTGGGTTTGCTTAACTTTTGCTTCCCTCTGCATAGAGCCGCCTGTCACTAGCCCCATATTTAAGTAAGTATGGTCTCAAAAAAAAAAAAAAGACGACTCTGGGCTCAGCAATCCTGTGCCCTGTCACTAATTTTGTCACCATCAGCCAGTGACTTAGACACTTTGAGCTGAGTTTACTCATAAATAGGGAATGATAGCCAGCTGTAAAGACTGTAAAGGTGAAAAGCCTTTAGACCCATGAGAAAGTACATGACCAAGCAGGAATGTAGGAGAACATTCTTTGTAGAATATAAAATGGAGTTTTATCCCATCTTTTCTCCCCTCAACACCGTGCATCACTTATTCTGTGCACAAGAACCCAAACTAGTTTATCGCAGAAATAGCTAATTGCCTCTGTTGGAGAAAAAAAAAAAAATATCCCTCAGCTTGGGGAAAGAAGTCAGAAGCTGCAAAATCCCCTTTTCTTGTTACAATTCCTTGTGATGTGGGTGGCCACAGTAGGGTCCTTCCTGTATTGGGGCCAGTTTTCACTTTGTTCCGAGGCAAAACAACAACAAACAAAAAGCATGTGTACGATGACCCTTATGTAGGTGGTTCGTGCTTTTCTATGGGGGAGGCTCTAGTTAATATTGTCAGCAATACAGTGAATATAGAGCAGCTAGCTCGCCTGGTATCAAGCATAGAAGTGTGCATCGAATCCAGAACCTAAGCAGGCTGCTTCCTATGATCATTGCACTGCTTGTTGGGTAAGGTGTGTATCTGTACAGGCATGTACATATTTGTGGATTAGCTATATTTACTGTATTTGCTGGGACACTGTCGGAATACACAGAGTTAACAGGTTGATAGCATTGCACAATTCGAAAAACCATTTGTGTGCTTGACTACGTTCATGTCATACCTTTCCTACGAATGCTTCTTTATATATATTTTTAGGCATATATATATATGTATATATACACACATATATGTATATATTTATATATATACACACACATATACGTATATATGTATATATTTATATATATACACACACATACGTATATATGTATATATTTATATATATACGCACATATACATATATA